CTGTACTGGGATTTCAGCACCAGGACTAGAATTGTCACTTTCACTAGGATTGTTTAATCTGGCGATTACCTCCTGTTCAGTGGGTTCATTGATGATGACAGGAGGTAGCCTCCCCGCCGTAGTTTTAATCCTGATTTTTGGATGGGTTTCGACAGCAGGAGTTGGTTTTTTCAATCTTCGTATATGCAAAGGAACAGGTGGAGACTCCTCTTCCTCATCGCTAGAGATTTGGATCTCTTGAACCTTCCGCTTTTTGGGGGTTGATTTCTAAGCATATAGAAAACCAAGTCGAGAAGATCAATAATTACGTCAGATAAAACTAAGGGTAAAAAAGGAAAGGTAAGTACCTTAGGAGAGGGATTGATAGCAGAGTCTCCCCCTATTGTAATCTCAGCGGTTTTCTTCAAAGCAACCCGCTTGACAGCTAAACGAAAGGCAAAACAGCTATGGTTAGTTAGGAGTTGGAAAAACAAATTTAAAATGAAGGGGTGGAAAAAGGAATATCTTTTTTGACTCTGTCAAGAACCAGCTTGAATTCCTCACGCATATGGTGGGCGAAGTCCTTCTCGTTGAAGAACTCTTCCTCATAATAATGTCTCCACCACGTCTCAGAAGTGGTAGAGTTCAGAAAATGAAGGTTAAAGTCGAACAGGGTCAGTGTAGTTCGACCAAAATACCTACCAATATGCTTGGTAGCGGCATCCTCTGAGTAATCTGCATTATAAAAGAGTAGCAGTTTCTCTCGAGGGTATATGGGCGAAGGAAGCGATTGAGCAATGCCAAACTGTCGAGAGACAAGATTGGGTTGATAAGTAATTAAGCTCAATTGGTTCTTCGAGCTCTTAAATCTTAAAGGCATGATCCTGGGGCGGAGAAACGCTTCCCACATGCTCACGAACTCATCAACCACATCATCTTCTTCTGAAGGATATGGTCTAGTAAACCATTCCGGGCCAACTTTTCGACTAGCAAAAGGAGCCATAGTCGAATCAAAGATTTTTCGCTCCGCAAACATCATTACGAAGCTTGTAAAGGCTTTTTAAAATTGTTGGCCTTCATCAGTAGGAGTTAGCAATGCCAACCTGGTGCCTTCGACTCTCCTGTTTAAAATTTCAGGAGCTTCTTCATTGATCTTGTTCTTTTGAGGGAGAAAGGATTCGAAGGTGGCGTTAAGCCACAGTTGCAGAAGCCAGAAGGGACCAGATAGCAGCAAAATTCCTCTGTCTCCTAGAACCTTAAGTTGAGTCACACCATTACTGATGGACTCATATAAGTTGGCCAAAATCAATTCGGCCAAGCAAATAGGGTATTTGTAATGGAGCTGTGTTGCAAGCGTCAGCATCTTTTTCGTCACCTGTAGTGATTTAGTGCAGAAAACGAATCAAGACAGCCACATGGCCAAGAAGGCTATGTGCTCCACCTCCGACACGGTATTTGAAGCCTTGTCATGAAAGTGGTTTATGAAGGTGGTATAAGTGGGTTTGTTAGCAGCAAACCCAATGGGATCCTCAGACAAGTCTTTAGGGTCGAAATAGTCACCAGTGGGTCGAAGACCAGTAATGGCAGCTATGTCGAACAAGGTAGGGGTCACCATCCCACAAGGAAGATGAAAGGTAAAATGTGCACTGTCCCAAAAGTACAATGAAGATACCAGCATAAGGGGGCAATAAGGTAACCTTGTCTTCGACAGCATCACTAAGTCATAGATGCCCATCTACTTCCAGACAGAAGCTTGCACCCTCTCCATTTTATTCAACCAGTCGGAGTATTCAGAAGAAAGGTTAGGGCTTGATCGAAAGATTCGATTCCCTTTATTCATGAACTGGAGATTGATATCATCAGTAGTTTGAGGATGTTACTGGTTAGCCGGTGTAGCATCTTCAACATCTGCCCTAGGTTTTTTGGCACAACCTATGGGTTTAAGCCTTGGGTGTGTAGGGAAAAAGGCACGGTTTTTTAAGGGATTTTCGGCACATGAAGATAATGGGCCAGACATAGCATACATCTTTCCACCATATCTGACAGGAATAAGGAGTTGAGAATCATAGGCTTCTCGCCATTCTCCTATAGGTTCAACAATGTACCTGTTAGTCGAGGAAGAAGGAGGGTTGGTAGAAAAAATCTCTGGTGGTTTCTGAACATCATTAGCATTCTTTGGTTGCAGATTGTTTGGGGCATTAGAGAAAAAGGCCATTGTTAAAGACTTAAGAGAAAGAGTGAAGGTGACAGTACAGTGTTGTGAGAATGCGAGGGGTTTGGAAAAGCTGAGGATGATAAAAGTTCTAAATAGAGAAGTTTGGAAGTATTTATAGCCTTTAGAAGTGGGAAATGTCTCGTCAAAAGCATTTAATGTTTCACAGGTAGTGGGGCACGTGGCAAGGCAAGAAACGATTACCGTGCAGGCGTTGGGAAATGTTGGGACATGCTTGCCTAGATTATAGGAACGAGGCCATCATGGCGAGCGTGGTAACGGCAGTTTTGAAGAGACATTTTGGAAAAAAGTAATGATGGTTTTATCAAATATAACAGCTGTTGGAAGGCGAAAAGTACACGTCAAAGCCTGGTGGACAACTGGTAAGACAGTTGTCGAATGGGAAGTTCAAAGAATGGCTATTTCTTTGGGCGTCGAAATAGACATTCTTGGGGGGGAATTTGTTGGCTCCCAAATTCGACACTTGCTATATTTGGTCTCTTTGACCAAACAACTGGAAATGAACTACACCGGCAGGTGTAATTCGATGCATGAGATCATTTAAGGAAAAGGATCCAAGATATAATAAGAAGCTTCGACCCAGAGGTTCATTCGACTGAGGCAGATGTAGGTTGTTCGACTGAAGGGAAGTGTTCGCAGCCTTGGCACATGGGACGAAGAGCATTTTGAAATTTGAATTATTGGAGGGAAAGGTGGTTTTCATCAGCGTCTCAGGGAAGGAAACGTGGCAAAATGCTATGGGTCGAGAGGCATGCAGGAGACACTTGTCTTCATCCTAGCGCAGAATGTCCCCTCGACGGTTACCTATTTTTAGTATAAATTAAGAAGTTTGTGTAATTTTCAGTGTGTTCAACTTATAGTACTAAATCTCTCAAATATTATCCAAGTAACTACTGCGTGAGAAAGGATAAAAAGCAGAGCAATGTACGTTAGAAACACCTTTTTTACTTAATAAAAGTCTTTTTACTTTACTTTACCATTATCTTGCAAAGTTACCTTTTACTTCTTTTACTTCTTTTACTTCTTTTACTCGCATTTTTATGCTTTCATTTACTGTTCAACAATCTTAAAACATCTCTCCCCTGGGTCGAACGTGCGTTCTTCCTTCTCACTCATTTTACATAAAGATTACCATATGTTTTGTGATTAGTTTGGTCGATCCCGCAAGTAAACCAAAAACTTACCTTTTTTGGAGACCAGTGGTTGTTTACCAAAAACAACGGTAAACAGGTTTGTTGTAATATCCTAAGTATAGAGTCAACACACTGGGGAGTTGGTGGTTCTCGTTTGACTGCTTTATCGACCACCTTTTCGTACTGCACCGGTTCCTCACGTGGAGGAGGCGTAACTTGTAGAACTAGAAATCTTGGGGCACCAAGGAAGTCTCTGATGCGAGTCATTTGAGTCA